GAAAAAAAAAAATTTTTTTTTTTTCAGAAAAAACGGCCCCCGGCGGGGGGAATACTAAAAAAAAAAGAACTCTTTTTTTTTGCCCCGGGGCCCCTAAAAACCAGAGATATTGGGGGGGGGGGGCGCGCGCGCACACACACACACACACAAAACATACACAACATAACACACACACACAGACCCCCACACACACACACACACACACACACACACACACACACACACACACACACGCACACTCACGCACGCGCGCGCGCACACACACACACGCACACACACACACACGCACACACACACACACACACACACACACACACACACACACACACACACACACACACACACACACACACGTACATTTTGAGACATGGTCTCCATACGGAAACAATTCGTCTTTCCCCTCCATCTCAGCAGGTGTTTAGTGGGTGGTGTTCAGGTGTGTCGGTTGTTGTTTATGTTGTTGTTGGTATTCGTTGTCCTTTTCCTTGTTGCTCTTCCAGTGAACAGTTCTTTGTGAAGTAGGACCATTATAGTGCTCATTGACCATACACACACCCAAATACGACTGAGCTCAATGTCGTCTTGCTCATCACATAGAAGAAAGAAGAACCAAATAAGTTTGGTCAAAGGTGGAGGGGATGTAACCCCTCCCCCAATAAAATAAAAATAAATAAAATAAAATAAAAATTATTTCGGTTCCCTCTCCCAATCCATTTTCGCCTCAGTGACTCGTTAACCCAAGTTTTCCTTCTCTGTCTGGTGTCGGCAAAGTCACATGCCTTAGTGCCAATGCCATTCTTTTTGTGTACATTCCAGCCAGACTTTCCCATCAAATTGTTTCTTCTTTCTCTTTCTTTCTCTCTTTCTCTGGGTGTGTGTGTGTGTGTCTGTCTGTCTGTCTGTCTGTCTGTCTGTCTGTCAGTCTCTCTCTCTCTCTCTCTCTCTCTCTCTGTCTCTCTCTGTCTCTGTCTCTGTCTCTCTCTGTCTCTCTCTCTCTCTCTCTCTCTCTCTCTCTCTCTCTCTCTCTGTGTCTCTGTCTCTGACTGTCTGTCTGTCTGTGTGTCTGCCTCTCTCTCTCTCTCTCTCTCTCTCTCTCTCTCTCTCTCTCTCTCTCTCTCTCTCTCTCTCTCTCTCTCTCTCTCTCTCTCTACCCCTTTGCGTTCCTCTATTTCACTGAAAGCTCTATCTGTCATCATCACACCATTGTTTGACAGGCACAGTTGTTCTTTACCGATATGAATAGCATAGGAATTTAGACAATGCATGTTAGAGAAAGAATGTACATGGATTTGTCACGAGCGGGCATAAATATTTACCTTGCTCACACGCAGTGAAAGGATGTACTGCCATGAGTGTCGATGTAAGAACGCCTGTGTTTGTCTGAGTAGGCGTTTAGTGGCTGGGTAGCCGTGAACAGATCGTAAGAAACGAATTACTGTGTCCTTTGGTGTGTGTTTTTGTAGAAGTTTTACGGCTCTCGCAACCACACAAGGTCGTATGAGCGCACGCCTTGTCCCGGGTTTTGACACTTTGTGAGGGATACATCGTACTCAAGGGAGAGCAAGAGGGAGGGGGGCACGTTGAGCTCTTTTTTTTTGGTCTGAACCCTGTGTCGTAATGTGAATTGGGCAACCGGTGGACACTTGGCGTTGTGAATTGTAAGACTTGTGTGTGTGTATGTGTGGGTGTCTGTGAGTGTGTGGTTGTCTGTATTGTCTGTGTGTGTGTGTGTGTGTGTGTGTGTGTGTGTGTGTGTGTGTGTGTGTGTGTGTGTGTGAGAGAGAGAGAGAGATGGAGAGAGAGAGAGATGGAGAGAGAGAGAGAGAGAGAGTGTGTTTTAGTGTGTGTGTTCATGCGTAGGTGGTCTTTGTAAAACAGTATTTTCTAATTATATTTACGGGGAGACTTGTATTAGTTATATGTGTTTTAGTTTTAGAAAGACATTTACGGCACTTGCAATGCAGTAAGGTCATAAAGAGCCGAAGATTAGAGGTATCGCCAGAGAGTAACAAACACAAAAAAAACGGAGGGAAGATAAAGACAATAGATGCTTGATAGGAAAAAAGAAGTAAACCACTTCAGAGCACCAACCAACCACCCACCAACCACCCACAATTATATGTGTGTTCATGCTTTCCAGAGGCTGCACAACTTGTATAACTTTCCTTATCGTTCTTTTTTTCAATTCTCCTTTCCCCTTCCTGCTTCGTCTTCTTTTTTCTCTCTTCCCTGTCTCTTTATTCCTGTTTCTCACCCCTGTCTTTTTATTCCAGTTTCTGTCTGTCTGTCCCTCCGTCCGTCCGTTCGTCCGTCTGTCCGTCCGTCCGTCCGTCCGTCTTTATCTTTTTGATGTCGCACGCCCCTCCCTTTATGCTGTGTTCTTGACTCCCTTGTGACTCTCTCTCTCTCTCTCTCTCTCTCTCTCTCTCTCTCTCTCTCTCTCTCTCTCTCTCTCTCTCTCTCTCTCTCTCTCTCTCTCTCTCTCCATATTGTGTCAGCCTTCCCTTCCCCCATGTCAGTCTTTAAAGACCATAAAAACACTGGCCGAAAATGAACAAAGTCCGAAAGAGGGAACGGACAAGCGATAAAGGTCACTGTCTATAT